GTGGGGGTGAGGGGGCGGGGCTTCTCACTCCTTCGTCTCGGGGACTTCCTTTGTTGATGTCGACCTGTGCAGCAGGTGGAGGGACAAAGATTCTTATTCATCCACATCCAGTGGAGCGTTTCTGCAGGAGACACACACACACACACAATGATGAAACTCCACCGACGTTTATCTGTCCATGATAACCTTTAAAAAAAAACAAAAAAAAAACAGCCTTATCTTCCAAAGACCTGTCTTTTCTGAGGGACATGTTTATGAGCAGTTATCTCCCTGTGATCACCCCTGGGTGTTGGAAGAATCCGCTTTGTGTCCGTTCAACAAGAGGACCTTTGTGTCAGCCAGGAACAACTGATAAGCAGCCGACGACTGCACTTCTTCACCAAATCAACTACAGGAATAGTAGAGTAGGGGGGCAGGGGTGGGGGCGGGTGTGGGGGGGTCACAGGGGACAAAGTCTGGGACAGAGGAGTTAGTAACGAAAGCAGAAAGAATTTCAGGTTTTTTTTTTATCTAGAATTTCAAACTGGAGGAAATGTATAAATGCTGAGAAAATAGTCACAAGTTTATGACGACAAAGTCATAAATTAATAATGAAATATAATAATTTAATATTTTTAAATCGTTGCCCAGCCCTAATATATATATATATCTAATTTATTTATCAAAATTGGGTTAAAAATCATATAATCATGAGAATTAAGTCATATATTAACAAGAATAAAGTTGTTCCATTGTGAGAAGAAAAAGTTGTAAATTACAAAAAAAACTTCTAAATTTGAATGAAGTCATAAGTCTAAAAGAAGTATAACAGTCGAAATGCAAATCATAATAAAAGACAAAAAGGTAAATTCACAAGAAGCTGTGGATTTCAACTATTATGAAGAAAAAAAATCGTACATTTTGGAGAAAGAAGAGATTGAAGAGAAAAGTTGTGAATCGTTTAGGAGCTGTACGTTTACGTGGATGATACGCTGTCAGAACTCATGGATTTCACTTCCTGGACAGAGGCTGAGGCTGGAACCTGAAGAAGAAGAAAAAGAAGAAAAAGACTTGTAAGACTGGACTTTGTTACATTTCTTCAGTTTTTTACAAATATAGTGAGATATAATACTAAGACACATTCAAATACAGCTTTTTTTTTTCAATGATTCGCTGTGGAAAAAGGGACAAAGCCGAAAGAAAAAGAAGAAGAAAGCAGTTGTCAGCTCACCCACTGGTTCCAGACCAGAATAAGTCAACGTCTTCATGATGAATGTCGTCTTGTAAAATATCATGTACTTCAGCTGCGGCTTCACTTCACTTCACTTCCACCGTGCTGTCATTTGTGGCGTGAATGAATACATCTGTAAAAGTATTGGATTGATATAGATTTACACAAAATATTCAACTGAAAAATACAAATATTACATTTTTTTTCCATCAACTTAAGTGTGTACCTGTCATTGTCGATGAGTTCAGAACTCCAGAGATTTATTAGAGGAATGTTTTTGTCACCACGTCACAGGCTGAAAACCCAAGTGCTGGTGTTGGTTGGTGTCCAAACCGTGGTCCGTGGTCTCCCGACAGCCGTTGGCTCCTTCCTGTAGGAAGCTGTTAAATCTGAGTGGAAGAACAATAACAGAGACAAACCAACAGAGACAGAGTCTATCAAGCTCAGATTTGTGTGTGAGTGTTTTATGAGCCTGTGAGGAGGCTTCGTCTGCACGCCCGTCTCACAGCAGCATCGATTTGTTCAACTCTGTGGTCAGAAGAGGTTCTGTCGCACAAGAGCAGCAGCTGAGGCTTCAATACAAAAACAAAACTAAACAAAACAAAAAAAAAGCAACGGGGCGAGTGTGTGTGTGGGGAGATGGACAGACGGGAGTCGCTGGATGTGAGGGGAAGAGACAGGAGACGGATGGAGCGAGACAAAAACAAAGACAGACGTAGGAGAGAGGGCTGGAAAAATGCTTGTGGAGAGGAGACAGAGAAAAGCCACTAATGACAGCAGACAATGAAAACTGGCGGCTGATGGAGCGTCTCCGCGGCCTGAGTGACAATAACGACGAAGGCAGCAGCAGCAGCGCCGCCGTTGACCAGACCTACAGAGACACTGGACGGCCTCGAACGCAGCACCTGAAAATAGAGCTTTGTCTGGGAATAGACTGTTATTAGTGCCGTCTAAATACAGGGTCCATCACACTGTTCCTGCTCCACCTCAGCTCTGCCACAGTGTGAGCTAATTGGGTGGTCGGGATAACAGAGACAAGAAGTGTGTGGAAAACCATAATAATAACAGGGTTTTAACAGCAATGATACAAATGACAATTAAATAAAAAGAATAAAAAAAAAACAGAACAAAAAGAATGTTGATGTCTGGACTGTTTTTAATTTCTATACTCTGTCTAAGGCAGCAGTTTGTGTCCACAGGTCGGTCGAAGAACTGGCAGTGAACAAAAGAAAATTAAAAAGTAAGAAAAATCACTTTCGTGTGCTACAAACTCCTGGTAAATACAAGTTTTTCGAAACAACAACAATAATATTAAAAATAATAAAAAGCATCATCAACATTCGTTTTCCTCCTTCAAGTATGCTACTACGCAAAGTGACTAGTGTAGAATTGGCAGAGAAAAAAAAAATCGACGGGTCCATGGTTGTTTACACTTTACAGGTCCTACAGTGTGTATGTACAGAGGTGTGTGTGTGTGTGTGCGCAGACACACACACACACTACACACAACAATGATGTGAAAGACTGGCTTAAGATGTCGAAAAGTGGAAAAATAATTTACAGAAACTTGTCCTTTTTTTTTTCTCCTCTTTCGGCAGGAACGTTGTCCCAATGAGGTCCATTTTACAGTCCACAGGTCAAAGGTTAAGAAAACACTCTGAAGAGTGGAGACAACGGTTGACAGCTGTGGTGGAGGACACCAAATGTCCTCAGGATTCTTTTTGTTGTCTCAGTGAGGACAGTGGACATTAAGAGTCCATTTACAGTGGAAGACACGTCCACAGAGTTCTCCAGGTGATCTCTGTCTGTCCAATCAGAGCCTCAGAGATCAGACCTGGAGCAGGACGTGGAGTGGACGAGGCGTCCAGCAGGATGTTGTCAGGGGTAATAAGACGTTGTGGGAGACCACACATCCAGCACGGCCTCACTGATCCTTCAAACAGCGGAGGTTGAAGCCCAGGCCCAGCCGGCCTTTGTCTCTTTGGTTTTTACAAACAGAAGCGACGGTCGGTTTTTCTTTTTACACACACACACACGCTGCCACATACACACATCAAAGTAAAGACGTCAGCCGTGATTGGCAGGACAGAGACAGTGCACCTCGACCTCAGAACTATAACAGGAATACAGTGTAATTTTAGCTGCTTTTCTTTTCTTTTTTCGTTTTTTTTAACACAGCAATGACTGATTGTGGTTTCATAATAATAACAATAATAAAAAGATGTACCATAATGTCACATGTGTTTCCTCCATGTCTACGTATGTACACGCCTGGCTGTTGTTTTCAACGTTTTTCATATTTAAAAAAAAAAAAAAAAAAAAATCAGACACCAGTCAGTGCACACGACAACAGTAGAATATGTACATCTATATACATAAACCTACTGTACATCACAACTTTGACAACAAGCTCCAACTGGACAGGTAGTGATCAAATAAAGTTAAGAGGAAAAAAAAAGACAAAAAAAAAAAAATCATCTGTTTCACCTCTGGTCGAAGACACAGAGGGAAACACTTTGTGCATACGTCAGGTCTGAAGAGCGACACCAGAGACAACAGCTGATTGGTCCGTCTGCTCATCTGAGTCCAGAAGAGCTGACGGGCACTGAAACTTAAGACCATGTGTGAAGTCTGGTTTGGTTGAAAATATGACACAAAAAAAAAAAAAACGAGAAGATCAGAATTCAGATTCACTGAAAAACATGGAAGTGTGGCAACGTTACTGCCACCTACAGGCAATGACTGCAGTAATAATTATTGATCAGTTTGACTGACACCAAACATTTACTTTAAATTAAGTACCAACCTCGATAAACGGTGATGTGTTCAAATACAGCTTTGGTATTATAAACACAAGAACTCTGACTTCAGTTGTAGAAATAAAAAAATACAAGTATTTTTTTTTGTTGAAATGATTTTAGTGCTGATGTACACAGATGTACTTTAGACCAAACTAACAAACCTTCGAGTTGGAAAATAATAATAATAAATGTCCTTCCCTTGACTATTGTTCAAATTAAACTGCCTGAATAAAACATAAAATAAACTAAAAACTGAGTTCTGACTAAATCCACATTAAGTTCAACAGCGACTGTTTAAGACTGAAGTCTGTGAAAACCTTAAATAACTCTGGTTAAGAGAAAAGAGAAACGATTCTTCGATTTGTTTGGAATGGAGTTTTTCACACTGTGGAAATGAAATGTGAAGTGTGTCGAGTGTCGATGATGAGTTCAGGTCAGGACTTCATCTCTGCACCTTTGACCTTGACCTCTGCTGATGATCCTCGGTGACGGAGCCGAGCAGACGCAGGTGTTCTTCTGCGTTACGTTTTACCTTCAGCTCCAACATTTGTCTTTTGGAGACTTCAAACTTCATTTAAACCTTCTTATTAAAGGCGTTTGGTTTGACAAAGGTTTCCCATCCATACAAAAAAAAATTAAATAAAAAAGAGCTTAAAAGATCCTTCATTGAAAACGTTTCTCTCTCAGTGCTGGATGTGAGGGGTCTAGAAAAAGATGACGTCCTCTTTATTCAAGTCTTCCGTGGAGATCTTGTAGGGTGGTGGAGTGGTCTGGCTGCGGCTCTGCCCCTGGTTCATCGGGACATGTGGCTGGAGGTTGGAACTCAAGCCCAGTGGCTGAACGTGGGACTGCACCTGCTGGACTCCTGAGGTGTGGCTGTAAAGAGGCACAGAGGGCTGTGCGGGGGGGACGGGGGGCTTCTGAGCAACAGCGGGATGAGAGGTGGCGATGGTGGTCGGAGCTGTGGTGGAGGTTTGACTGTCTGCTCCGGTGTCTGGAGGACTGGGTTGATCTGTCGCAGAAATGGAAAAAGTAGAAGAAGTAAGTCGCAGAAATGGAAAAAGTAGAAGAAGAAGAAAATAAAAAAGTAGGTCAACAGAGAAACTCAGTAGAAGTAAAGAAAAACGTATAAATAAGTGCTGACAAAATACAGTCAGAAAAAAAAACAACCAATAACCATCGACATGTCTACCTGATTAAAGGTCGACTTTCCAACAAAACATTTTCAGAAGCATAAAATAAAAGCACACTGCTACATGTGTGAAAGCTAATTTGTGCAGAGATAAAATGATGTCTGAGGAGATTTGTTATTAATCTGGTCAAAGCATTCCACTTTATCTACCAGTAAAATACTTTAAACATTTTGTATGCACTAATGCTTCTAAGTACTTCTTCTCTTGTCCCGTAAAGTAGTGACGAGGGAGTGTTTTCTCCCCCCCCCCCCAAAGTAGAGTGGATAACAGAACAATAAATGACATTATTAAACTACAGCAGCAGATTAGGTCGCAGCACGGTCTCGACAACAGCTAAGCTCACTGGTTCAAATCCTAATCTGCAACATTAAATCCTGTCTGCGTTTCTGTGAGTGGTTATTGTGAGGGCACCGGATTAAAGTGTTAAAATGCCTGTGTCAGCCAGGCAGCCGGCCATTAATCACAGAGCAGCATGTGAAACTGATAGGTGTTTACACAGGGCGAGGCTGGGCATGAGGGCGGCCTCGCAGCTGAACGTGATCGGGGCGGGGTCGAGTTTGCCCAGGTGGAGAACGCGTCTCTCGTTTGAGTGTGTGTGTGAACGGCGTCAACAACGCAGACCTCGTCTTAATGGAGTGACACAGGGCGTGTGTGTGTGTGTATAATTAGGAACCTGTGTGGTGATGCAGGGCTGACATCAAGGGCTGCTGGTGGGGGCTGATGGAGCGCTTAGCCTTGAGGGCATTTTCGTCTCGGGCAGAGAGCTTCATTGGCAGCATCTGCTTCATGTCCACTGAGGCTGAAAAGAAGAAGAAGAAGAAGAAGAGGAGGAGGAGGAGGAGAAACACAGGGGGAAGAGAGTAAACAGGAAACTGATTAAATAAAAAAAAAATTAGATTTGATAAACTTGAACCACAAATGATGAGAAAATGTCTGAGGTCAAACTCATGTCAGGAAATCAGTGAGGAAGAAAATTAATTTTTATAATAAATTGATTAAGGTAAAAAGCTTACCTGGTAGGACGATATTAATAATTTAAAATATATAAAATATACCACCTTTTTTTAAAACATAATTATTCTATCCATCAACTCCTTAATATAAATTCCAATAATCACAGGGAATATGTTGGATCTTTTGCAAAACATCAGGGCGCAATAACTAAACAACAGATAAACTGAATAACATTTTTTTTATTTGGTTTTCAGTTTTCAAACCTAAGGACTCACCTGTGCTGTCAGTGCGACTGGAGGTTTTGCTCATTTTGCCTAACTTCCCTTTGCCACTGCTGAAGGCGGCCAGCTTGGTGGGGATCTGCTGCTGCACGCCCACCGGTTTGTGCTGCTGGTTTGTGGTGCTCAACAGATTGAGCGGCACCTCCGTCTTCAGGGGCAAGGTGGAGGAGCTCGTCTCTCGTCGCAAAAGCACCTCAGGTCGCTCCGGGTAGTCGGCCGGTCCCACGGTCAGGCTGCTACGCACCAGGGGCTTCGGGGGCAAGGGCAGTTCAGGAATGCTGGTGTTGCCCGTGAGGCCAGAGGACATGAGAAGTTCTCCGTTCAGGCTGCCAGAGAGAGGAACCACCTAGAAGATTAAGGAAGAGCAGATGAAATTATTCACTGAGGGCAAAATGAAACCTTTCTGTTCTGGAAGTTTAGACTTTTGTTATGGAGTGTGTGGCTTCACTTTTGTCTCCGTTTTGTTGTTTAGATGTGTTTGCTGTATGGGCCATGTATGAAACCTTGACACAGCTTTAGTGGTTTGCTGTATGGGCCATGTATGAAACCATGACACAGGTTTAGTGCACGGAAAACCGACACACACACACGCCCATGTGCGGACACACAATGACTCTTGTGTTAGCTGCCGTGTCATTAGAGAAAGACAATCCGTTGAGAAGGCCGGCATTTATGGATTTAAGGGGAGAATCAGAGACACATGTTAGTTTCTGCTGAGCACACACTTTGCTGAAAAGCATTTGATGTTGCACGCACGTACACGCAACGAGAGAAACATTAAACCCTTTCGTGGTCCCTGAGCACATGAAGGCACGTTGAACTAAACAGACGGAGCTGTTGAACAAGGAAAACCGCTGTCATGACATCACTGGATGAAAGACACTGATGACACTGTCTGTTTAACCACTAAACTGGAGGAAAGACAATCTGATGTGATTAGACCCTGAATGTGCGACTACTGAAGAACAGTCATGTCCAGACTGCAGTGTTGACTGTTGTCCTAAACCTGCCTCGTCAACATGTGGTCATGATGACCAACCAGAACGCAGGCAAACAAAACATCACTTCCTGTTTCTCATATTAACCAGAGTGATAACCACCGACGCTCTGAGCCAAACGCTCTCATTTTCCCCCTGTCTAAATGAAAATGCAGTTGTTTTCTTCTTCTACCACTTTGGATCATCTGGCTGCATCTGCCTTTGTACCAGTGGTTCCAAAAGTAGGGGTCGGAACCCCACTGGAGCGAGTGAAGCAAGGCAAATTTGTTTTAATTTTCAATTTTTTTTTAGTGCCACAGATAGAATTGGCACTGAACTGTAATTGAATTTCCTGTCCACTGCACTGACCACCTGTCACTCTTCTGTAACAAACTGTCCAACAGTCACTCTGTTATCAACAAACACAACATGCTGGTCTTTGAAAGGTTTGAAGGAAACGTCTCAGAGTTTTTGCTCTGCTGACTCTGTACCCACGTTACAAGATTGATGATGATGATGTAGAATACTTCCTGTGAGGATACGGGGGGTGGGGGTGAGGGGTGGTATATGATGACTGTGTTCAAGGCATGAAGGGCAAACTCATCAGACTGTGACAGTGTCAGTACGTATGTCTGTTACATTTCCTAAAAACCGTAGCCTCCCCTCCAGCTGTAACTGCAGAGCATGACGAGGTGACCCGAGGCAGAGAGAGGCCCAGCGGAGGGGGGAGGGCGGGGGAGAGTCTCCCCACAGTAAATCCTCCTTTCTTCACCTCCACCTCCTCCTCCGTTATTTTCCTCCATCTGCACTCACTCATTTTGGCACACAGATGTTCCATTGTCGTCCCCTCCCCCCCAGAACAAGGTGAGCAGTTTTGGGACTGCACCAACAGCAGGTTTCCAGGGAAGTAAACGGGGCAGAGCTTTTCAGAGCACAAAGAGACTTTGACTGACAGCACACAAACAATCACCACTGGCTGTTTTCCAGAAGCTTCCGCTAACAACAGGCCTGACTTGGCTAATTATACAGCCCAGTTCCTCTCGTCCTGAACACTGACTGGATCCCTCAATATCATACACGTCTCCAGTTACAGCTACACAAAGGGTCTGGTCTTCTACACAGTGGACACCGTCCAGTGAGGTAATCCTCGGCTGACGAGTCTCATCTGCGTTTCCCCGACCAGAGAAAGAATTTCATTAATACTTGCCGGGAAATTGAATGCAACTGTCGAAGGACTCCAGGAAATGTACAGCACAGAAAAAAACAAACAAAAACAAAACACATCCTTCATCAGTATCACCAACAAACAACTAGACAACATCAGGTATAAGAACTGGAGTTTTGAAATACTATTATATATTTTCTTTCTTACATCTCTTTGTGCTATGGAAGAAATCTTTGAAATCAGTACTAAGAACTTAGTTTTTCACTAAAGTTTTTTTTTTATTTCTATTTCAACAGTATCTTATGTGTAATTTCCAATACCGCCCCCTTCTGCATGCATTATGCTGTGACTGAGCTAAGGTATTTGGTGAAACGTATTGATTTTCTAGCAGATGACAGCCTCAGCAGCAGCAGCAACATCATAAATCTATAGACCGAGATCACCGAGAGGAGGAGCTGGAGTTGTCGTGCAGAAGACGCAGCTCAGAGTTTACGACTGACCTTTAACTTCACTCCTGACGTTTGCCAAAGTACCCATGTTTTACAAACACTCCTGACATCTTGTACTCCTACAAGGTAATAATTTAGTGTTAGGCCTCTGAGCAAAATATACAATTTTTTTAAGAAAAGACATTAGTGAGGTATTCCCGGCAACAGAATTGTCATATATTTTATATTTGTGACGCTTGTTTTCTCATTCGATTTAGCAACTTCTGGGCTGGATTTTTTGGCTTTTAACTTTTAAAAGTCGTTCAGAATCACATGATCGCAGCTGAGGTCCGTGTTGTACATTTTCACAGGGCCTGAAGCAGAGGTTCTTTCCTGGGTCACAGCCAACAGAAACGCTAGAGGCCAGAGCTTTCCTCATCAAGAGGCCAGAGATAACACATGAAAGATCCTCTGAAGTCAGGACATGCCGCAACACGAACTGTTGCTTAAACTCTCACACTGAGAAAAGTAAACTTGTGGAGACGTTTTTTTTTTTTTGTTTTTTTTTCGTAACAAGGTTTAATCATAGCTCTTTTGCCTTGCTGATGAGTCTTAATGTTGGGTTTTTGGTACTTAAATGTCTGTTGATAACCCAGCCAGCTGTGACTGGAACACATCCAGATGATAAGAATGTTTGATGTCGGTGACGCATAGGAAACAAACCACTTCCAAACTTCCCAAAACCACGGCCAAAAAAAAAAAAGGCCCCACTGTGGAGTCAGCAGTATAGAACTGGAAAAAAAATAAATAAAAACAAACAGGCATCTCCATGTGTACAAAAAAAACACAGACACAAACACCATCACCAACCCTGAACAAATGAGCTCAGGATGTGCCGAGTGGATCGTGCTTCTAGTTTTAACCTGTCCCAAAGTAGATTACCAAAAAAAATAAACAATAAAAAACAAAAACAACCACCTATGTGACTGAGTGACGCTGTATTAGCACACGCTCTCTGTTATTACCCGAGTCCCTGCATTACTCATGATGTCGGATTAGTTCACTTCACTTCACGTGACCAGCGGCTGTGGTTTTCAGCAGAAACCATGTCATCTTCCAGGTATAACCCACAGGCAGCGGCCCGTCTTCTATAGTCAGTAATGAGATGATTAAATGCAGCACATAATGTCAGCTGATGTTGTTTGTCGGCTTCTGAAGCGAAGTCTTTGAAAAGGTCTCCCTGTCATGTTATCTCTGGAATGAACGCATTAACTTGTGGATTGTTGGTCACTACAGTTACAGCAAGACATTTAAAAAAGTAAACAACTATTTTCACCTACTATGGTCAACTACAACTACTGTGTTTCCACTGTTTACATGGCTTCAAAATGAACCATTCCTATAATGACAGTTCAGTCTGAACGAGTTCTTGTGACATGAAAGTTTTACCCCAGTTATTCTGTCTATGTTTAAGAAAAACTTCTACATTTTTGCTCCTCTTTTTTAATGGAAACTAAATATTTAATTTGTCTTCTCTCTCGTGTCTGTCACTTTCACATTTTTCTCTCCATTTTATTATATTTCAAGATAAAGCGTTTGAGTTCATTTAGAGTCTCATACTACAGCCTTCTCCATTAGAGTGAGAAAAGTAAGTTTTTGATTAATATATTAATATTGTTAATGCAGATATTGATGTAAAAAATAACACCAACATAAATTGATTTAGAAATCAAACCAAAAAAAATGAATCATTAATTCTCACTATCTTATTTCTTCTCTAATAATCTTGAATGTAGAGATTTTACATAGAATTATTTGCCACGTTATGTTAATTCTGCTTCACCTATTATTTTCTTAAATATGCATTACTGCCACCTACTGGGTGTATTTTTCAGTAGCAAACGTCATCACCCCAGCACGTTGAGTTGCATACCTGCTGATAATTATAGTATCATTTACTTCTTATGGTCCATTAAAAAAACTAAGGGTTATTTATTTGTTATGGTTTCTGTGAAACTCCAGTCGCCCTGTAGCCTTAAGGAAAGTACAGTTACAAACAAGCGCTGCACATTTTTAAGGACACGTTAGGACTCGAAGATGGCATTTTGTCACCTATTAGATACTCATCTAGGTATTCAGGATAAACAACGGGCACAGCTGAAGGATTAAACATGTGTGTGACGACATGCTGCACTACTTTAACGGAGCGGCAATGACTCGCTGCAGCCTCCGTGGAAAAACATGTACATGTAGCTGCAGTCCCTATTTTTAAAACAGAAATTAAAGACAGCGACTCAATGAGTTGTAACACTTTGTTGTTGACGAGAACATTAGTCAGCACGAACAACCGCACGGTTACTTGGGGGTTTTATTTTTCATGTTCTCTTGTCTGTCGACAAAACCAGGTGTGACTCAGCTGTTGTTCATGATTCTGTCATTATGTCCTTATTACATGTTTGAAACTCTCTTGCACTTTAAATGTCATATAATAATTATGAAACAACCATTATTTTCTATAAGGGACACGATGGACCAATTTGTAAACTATAATAGAAAGTGGAGAGTGAGGTGAGTTGACTTAATGGCTGCTGGAATTTGCACCGGCAACCCCCGTGAAGTGGAATAACCAATGAAAGATGAATGAATTAAATAACATATTGATACTAAATTAATTATTTGTCTTTTTGATTGTTAATTTATAAAATATAATTTCAAATAAAAAAATATTAATAATAGATACATAATAAATTAATATTGATGTTTGTTTGCACTAAAACAGAGCTTTCTGTAAAAGAAAATAATAAAGTACCTTTTGTCATGAAAAAACAAAACAGTACAGTGCAAAAGAAATCAAGAGTGATGCCCTACAGACTTAATATGTTTGTATGAAAAGAACAAAAATGTGTCATCATAAAAGTCCTGATGTAAAACTGTCTGTTTCACATCTTATCAGGTTGTCGCTGCGTAATCAATCAACCAAAGTTTGACACCGACACAAAAACTAAAAGCTGATATTAAATCACTTTTTCTGGCTCTCCCTTACAGAGCTTTTAGCACAGGGCATGGAATTACACTCAATGGATTTTTCTCAAAGTTTCTCTCCCACGAAACACACAAACAAAAGCCTGCATTGTACTGCCACAGGGGAAAGAAAGATACAGGTAAGGCAAAACAGGAAGGACGGCAGGGAAAACACGGCAGGAACGGAGGAACGAGAAACACTTGAGATGACTGATTAGAAAACCTACGATACTGTATGTGTGACTTGATGTTGTGGCCATAACAAAGACCGTGGGAGCAGAGACCAATGTTTTCCTGCTGATGAATACGTCTTTGTGGTTGACATTATTACAGATTATTCTGTTCTTCAAGGAAAATAGTTTTAACTTTATTTTAAATATAACAACTCTTTAGACGTTTAATGTTTCCTTCCGATGTAAAATACTGTTTGATTTAATGCACATTTGCATTGATCCAGGAATCTTACCTCGATGGTTTTCCTCTTGAGTTTCTTCTGGTTTTCCAGACGTTCCTTTTCTTTCTCCACAGATCTGGTGGACTCTCTCAGTCTCTCCAAGTCCTGCTGGTACTTATCCCTCTGCCTCTCCAGCTCCTCCTTCTCTTTTGCGAGCTGCTCCTGTAGAAAAAAAAACAAAACAAGCAATGTTACATATTTTTTTTCAAGCAAAATACCACACTAATTTAATGAGACATTCAACATCAGGGTCTGAAGTTTGAGAGTACTCACCTCCAATCGTTTGCACTCCTCCTCTCTCTGAACGAGCCGGGCCTCCGTGGCCTCCACCTGCTGCCGGTGCCTTTCACGCTCCTTCTCCCAGCGCTGCTGTTCCTGACGGTGCTGAGACTGGAGCTTGTGAAAACTGGCCAGTTCTTCTCTCTGCAGCGCCAGCGTCCGCTGCTTCTCCTGCTCCAGGAGCACGTTCCCACGGTGGCGGCCCGGAAGGGAAGCTCGCTCGTTCAAAGAGGCTCGTTGGAGTTCAATCTGACTGTCCTGCTGTGAAATGATTCCCTGGTGAAAGGAAAAACGTTAGATTTTTAACCATGACCTTTGAATTGTAGTAATGTTACTGTAACAGTGTCTGTTGTGGTTCATTTTGCTCTTGATGATATAATGTCAAGATTTAGGGTTATTGGTAAAATTTAATTTGCATTTAAGGTCATTTTAAATTTGCTTATTTCATACAGAGAATCAAGTGCATTTCCCCCCTGGGAATAATTGATTTACAGAGACGGGACATTTTAAACAGCCTTTCTTGATTTATTTATTTATTGAACCCTGTGGCTAGTTATATAATCAGAAAAATGTCTAATAAATCATCTTTTTAAAAACCCTGCAAGTTGTAGCCCTGAGGTTAAATGACAAAATGAATCATTTAAAGCACAACAATATATATATAGCAGTCTTTTTAATTATTTTCATCTACGGCGCATGAAAGGTGGAGTTATTACCTGTAGACTATAGAGCCTCTGTGAAAGCATCAGCACTCTGTCGAAGAACTGTGTGGAAGGCAGATCAGGTCAGTCATTTACAAACTTCATCTCCTGTTGTTATGATACTGTATATCAGTGTATATTTTTACATCCAGCAGACATGGTTGTCAAATATCAAAGTGACGCAGCACAACGTGACAGATCAGAGAGGGTGAGTTTACCTCGGCCTCAGGGAAGGTGTTGGACCAGATGCTGTTCCATCTGGCAGGAGAGCATGTGCTCTCATCAACCTGGGAAAGGACAGTCAGATACACAGAGAGGCATATTAATGAAGTGACGCAGCTAACACACACTGTACTGCTGCCGTTACTGTATTTTGTAAAAATGTTAACAATTAAAAAGCTTTCATTTACTCATCAGTAACAAAGTTAACAAAATATTTAGAATTTCATTCAAAATCTACTCTGCTCTTGTTTGAATCTAAAGAAAGAAAAAAAAAAAGATTGTAGTGTTTTCATCCACCAAATCTATCTTCTCTGTGACCTTTGGCCTGATATTTCTTCAACACCAGGATTTACTGAAAGGTATCTATTTAAAAACAAATGCAGTGACCCGAGACAGGACAAGGTTACAGTAAACATTAGGCCGTGGAAACTTTCCAGATGACTTGGGTTGTTTACTATTTACAGGAAATAACACTGCGACTCATCCCGGCGGGCACATGTTGAGCCCCTACCGTCTGCTCCAGGGTGTGGCTGCCACAGAGGTCTTTGAGCTGAGGGTCAGAGCTGGCTCTCTGGCTTCTGTCTCTGTTTCTGGATTCACCAGAGGAGTTCTTCTTCACACTGCCATCTGGCACAGACACGCACACACACACAAAAGGACACAATGACAAACACACACATAATTCAACTTTGCTGATACAAACATAAGTTCACAAAACTTCACACAGGTACATACTTTTATAAACAAGTAAAAATCATAAAATAAAATGCTTCAATTACAACCAAAGAAAAAATGAAAAGAATCAATACTATATGAAGGATTTAGCAAATTTATTCATGTGCTAGTGTCACCCATAAATGACATTAACGATGTTGATTAGATGGTGGACTTCCTCAGATCACGGACTGGACACTCACTCTTACTGAGTATGGTGGGATTACTGTCATAGCCCCCAAAAGTATCTGCTCTCCTGGGTGGAACCCCAGAACCTCCGACATCCTCCGAGTCAGAGACTGGAGCTTCTTCTCTCACTCCAGACTGCAGGAGGTTCTGGAGATTCTCCACTGGAATGAAAAGATGACAGGGAGCAGATGAGATGACGTCAGAGTCAAACCAAACTTATACAGAAAAAGAACAGCCTTAATAATAAACATTATTCATCTAAGTTACTCAGTACCAAATAAAGCAGTCAGGGACATACTGTACGTAGCATGGTCTCACCTTCAGTTATTGCTCCCTTGAGTAAGGTCTCCCCCTGCTGGAGGTCCGAGGCATCTCCTCGAAGCAGAAGTCTTGAACGAGAGGCTGTAAACTCCAAACCTGCCACAGACTCTGCCATGTCTGCAAAAATCTGCAGCTTCTCAGTGAGAGCTTGCACGATCACCGCGTCCCTCTGACCCAACCGCTCTACACATGAGAAACATGGAACAAAATACAGTAAGGAAACACCAAGAGAAAGTACTGAAAGTACAGAACTGGTCAAAGGACTTCATTTTGTATCTGTAAAGCAGGAACCTCCACATAAAAATTAATGTTTAGACATAAATATGTAAAATAAAATTATTTGCATCCACATAAAAGTTTAAAAAGCTGTGCAAGAAAATATTAAAACGATGTCTGATGATGACTGACGGGGCACATGAGCACCACCTAGAGTCATTTTCTGGTGCTTCACTGTCCCTAAAAGTTACCTTGAAAGTCTTTTAACCTGGAAGCTCGAGCCTCCTCTTTCTCACTGAACAGCTGCTCTTCTGTATGAGGACAGCTGCAAGGGGAAAGGGACAGAGTCAGTAGTTTGGACAAATGGACATTAGAGACCTAAAATGGCAGTGATCTGGGGAGATGAGGTCATCTTTATTATGCCAATAAAGGTCTTTTTAAAAACAGCACTGACTCTGGTCTCTGTCCTAACAACATTTACTGTTTGATTGGTTATGAAAAAAACAAAAAATATCAAAAACTATAACATGATGGATGTGAGCAGAGGACATTAAAATGAAAACAAAATGCTTGCGACACAAAAACAACACAACATGTACCTTTCCACCGCCTGCCTTATGTTTGTCATCCATGTGTTTCTTTCTTCCTTGGAGGTGGTGTGGATCTTGTACATCTCTGGTTCATTAGAGGAAGCACAGATCAGAAACATGGCCTTCTCATCGTGGGCCACTTCCCTGACTATCAGCTTCTGAAGAGAGATCACCGACGGCTTGTTGTCCTGGGAGGATAATACAGTAGGGGTGAAAATTAGTTAGTCTATTGATGGGTTAGACATTTACAGTACTGTTCAACATTAATGTACATTTAAATCATATGTACAGTGAAGATAAACCACTCACCACTGTAGCAAAAACAAATCTCTGGTCCTTTTCTTGCAACAAAATCAACACATCCGACAGAAGAACGGCTACAATATCTGGAAATTAACCATCGGAAATAACAATTTCAGACCACAACCTGCTACCAAAAAATAAAAACGTTGATTTTGGTTTGTTTTTTTAAATATGCCTTTCCGCACCTTTCAGTCTGCCTGACGCAGCCTTCCAGTTGACGGTGCCCTCATGAAGCAGTCGTCTTCTGGTCGACAGCAGGTCCTCCCTGCGAAACATTCGGCCATCTTTGATTTTTCCCACAGCTTTCGGCTCCATCTTGTTGTGTATGTCTCTGAGTCGAGACAACTTCTCGTAGAGATTAACCAAAGAGTCCACCTGAACGATGGTATCTTTGATCAGACCCAGAGCCCGAGTTAGATCCTCGTGCTCTTCGGTTCCAGCTGGAGGTCAAAAAAATAAATAAATAAATAAAACGTACTTTACAGCAACAGAAGCTGTAGGTAATGCACAGTATTTTATCTGTCAAACTCCCAGACCTTTAGTATTTTGTAGAATCCGTTCCACTAGTACTGGGTACTTGGTAATGCGCTGTGTGACCAACAGGATGCACTCTGTCACTCCTAGCCTCCGAACAATTGACAAGTTCTTGATTTTCTGTGTTAAAAGAGCAACATGTTGAATTGTCAGCTTGTCTTTGTTCTTATAAGTAAATGACAAAAATTCAAAAAGACACAAGCAACTTCAGGACTGTATTTTACTACGATACATCTCTAACACTTTCTTTTAGATTAGAATCCTTTAATCACTGGTGAACTGAACTTTCTCCTGACATGAAAACGTGCTAACGAATCCCCTCACCTGTATGATGTTCTGAAACTTTTTGTTGTTTTGCAGCTGTTCTTTGTAGTAGCTGACGGCTTCTGTGTGATGACTGCAGAAGTCTCCGTAGCTGTTCTTCATCCTCTCCCCGATTTCCCCTGAGAACTGAAGAAAGAGGAGCTGTTATTTATTCCACATTTGTGACATATCTTTTTACATCCTGTACCACCTCTGACAATATGTGCCTCTTAGAGTATCAAAGATTATTAGCTTTTTTTTAAATTAGTTTAATTACTTCATTTTTCTTTTTTGAATTCCTACTCAGAGACACTGTAATGTTCACCAGAGAAACATTTGGAAACTGATTTTTTTTCTCATCACTTCATGTTTTCATTGTATTAAATGTCCATACATACGTTAATACCAGGTATTGAAAGTGTGTGCAGTGTCACTGAGGACTTCTCCGTACCTGTGTGATCAGAATGTCGGCTAATCTGTTAATTAGGTAGTTCCTGTCACTTGAAGAGACGAGGTTTTCTTGCCGTCGCTCTTTAAGACAAGTGAGGAAATGCGTGTGGAGCTCCAGAAGACTTTCCAAACGAGGGAACAGACATTCCAGCTTGCCTGATTCCATCTGAAGGTTCTCCTTCAACTCTCTGACGTAGACGTGCAGCATGATCTTCAGTGTTCGCACGTGGTGCATCTCTGTCTGCATCAGCTCTGTAGGAAAAGACAAAACCAAAACCTTTCTGTAATTAAGCCCTTATCTTGTAAAAAAATGCAAATTACTTTCCCTGTTTTCAGCTGTTTTGGTTCAGTATCAGCTCATGCTGTGTTTCCAAAGCATCAGAAAAATCACACTTTGCTGATCTCTGAATGTGACAACTGTCAGCCCCTGAGGTGTGAAACTAATTGAAATGACAGTCTCAAAAATCTCACTTACCGTAAATGACATCTTGTCTCTTCACCATTTCTTTTGAGTGATTTTTCACAAAGTGTTGATCAACTGCCAAACTCCAAGACTCCGCCTCCAGGTCCTGGGCGTCTGACTCCAGATCAGATCGCACCGCTGCATAATGAGCATCTAAAGAAGTGACAGGGAGAGGAATCACTATAAGCATTGTTTAAAGAATTCTAATATTTAAAAAAATATATATATAGATCAATATGAGGCAAATATAGTTAAATAAATACAAAAGAAAAGCAGAACATCTCATTTAAACTTATCAAAATAAATACAAAAGAAAAGCAGAAGATCTCATTTAAACTTGAATGTCCTAAATGTTCTCTAATAAACTGAAATCTAAAATGTTCCCACCAAACATCGTCTGTTTTCATCACTGGCAACAGTGAGAAGATGTAGCATCAGTAAACATTTGGCCTGTTTTCACCTCCCACACACTACAGCTTAATGAGACAGGGTGAAGTCACTCCTGACTCTGCAAACAAACTCCACATCTTCTCCTCCCCTGGATTAGGACAACTCCCTGTAGATGACTATTAGTTATTCTGCACACAGGCTCGTCCAGAGACGGTGGACGACGGGCTGGTAAAAAGGGGGTTATATCTAGACACACGCTTCAGCTAAGCCTACAATTACACACGACATTTCAACAACTGCTGTCAGTGCATCAACTCGCCTTCTACAATGATGGACTCGGCGGTAGAGGGCGAGATGGAAATGGCATCGTCGTTGCAGTGTTTTGAGCGGAAGGCATCCGTTTCATCCATCTCCCCAGGGAGGGATCTGAGGACGACAGCCACAGGCCTTAATTAGATATCGCCTGATCAACAGCAGATAATGTTAGCTGATGGTAATAACTCATAATACAACTACTCAAACACAGCATAATAAAAATTTAATAACAGAATGGGCAGATAAGGAAAGATTCTGATGTATGTTTTAGTTAGTTAGTAACTACACTCACCCTGAGCTAGGGTGGTGACGGAGGCTGTAGCTGAAGTTGGAGGCAGGTGCAGCGGAGTTGGCAGTGTGGGTGACGGTCAGCTGATGGTTAGAACTTGAATGACTTAGAGTCATGCCTGGGCTGCACGACGACCCCGGGTGTCCATCCACAGGCTGTGACAGAACAGAGCCTGTCTGACTCCGATCTCGGTCCCAATCTCTTTCTGCAGCAAATACAAAAAAAAAACAACAACAACATCAATCTTCGTTAACACATATCAGGAGTTTTCCCCCAAGGATTAAATAAAGTAATTGGAATTCTGATAAAGACGCCGTCTTCCTTTCCAAATGAATGCAGCATGAATTCAAGTCTGTGTTAATCTATGTTCTACTTACTGGGGTTTGGAGATCCAGCTGAGCTAGGTTTTGATTGGCTGTCCTTCTGTTCAAAAAAAAAAAAGTTTTGTGACTATTTTAAGTCCATATACATAAATGCAAAATAACAGAATGCGACAGAGACTGTGTTGTTTTTTTTTCGGTAGCTTTACCTTATTCTTGCTGCTGGTGCACTCACCCAGCAGAGACTTGCAGCTCTTGTGAACATTCACCGCACAATCTGGAAAAAAAGAGCAGGAAAAAAAAAAGGTGAGGTCAGTCTTTTATTACTACCTGTTGCGTCAGTTTAACAATATTCAGAAGGTAGAATGTACAGTCTCTCTGTGCAGCATCTGGTGGTTTACCTCAAAATCACATCTGGATGTAATATAGACTGAACATAAGTTTATCATAAGCAGCGCTTTAAAGATTTTTAAACCGACCTTGGCTCTGTTTAAATCAGATGAAACATCACAACACAGACTTTTGGACATCATTTTTTTTTTCCCTGAAATGAGAAATCCTAATGTACAGCTCTGGAGTTCTCTTATCACTGAACGGATGAATGATTTCTGGCACATGAGAGCAGAGCAGCAGTGACTCTGGTTTCTGTTGGATTAAATGGGAGACATTCACTTCGCCTTATGCTGGTTAAAGGGAACTCCCGTTTCTCAGTAAGAACACTCTAATTTTTTTTTTTAACTTTTCTTCCTGTATGGAAAAAAAACACAGCTGCTGTGGCCTGGTTTGAATGAAGTGATAATTGGATCTCCGCTGATTATAGCAGATACGAATCACAGTTGTTTTGGAAAAACAAACTGCAGGCTTTGAGCTCCCACGTAGATGTCCTTTTAGATTTATTAAAAAAAAACACACACAGAAGAAGAAAATAAACTTATGATTAACATTATGTGTTAACCTTTAAGTGTGGATACAGCTTATGAAAAGTAAGGATCACATAAGGTACTGGGCTGGACAAACAAATGAAGTCAGCAACACTATGCAAAACCCCAACAGCCACAGAGTTAGGTTCAACCAGGCAGACGTGTCGAAAACACACATGGAATAAGATGCAAAATAAATATACAGATACAGTATTTACATTGAAAGGAAAGAGTCACCAATAAAGTGAAGGATGAGGTGGAAGATGGGGCTTTTTTTTTTTGGATATAAACTGACACTGGACCACTAAAGTTTTGTGACATTAGCACTTAAAGAATTGTCAAAAAAAGAAAAATGTCTTTATTCAAAGCTAAGTTAAACAGTAACACGTCTTCAACCTCTAAACCCTGAAGCTTCCTGTTTCTGCCTGTTGTTCTGTGAATAAGTCATCAATCCAAGTTTTAGATACAAACACAGTTTGTGATGAATTAAGATGTTGCTTTGAAGGGTTAAAAAAAAACAAAAACCCACACCCACAACAACAAAACCTCCTCTACCGTTTCCAAACATAATACACAGCCAGGGAAGTATTATTATCAGTGTTTGTGTCCTGCTGACAAGGATCTGCTTTTGTCAATGACATTGTAAACATGAGTCGTACTGGCAGCTTCCACTACGTGCTGCACAAGCCACAGTCAAAGCTTCCACTGTGTATTCTTCCTCTGTATGTAGCATTAACATGAGTACGTTAACAACATAAAGATGTGCTGTAGAAGTTTGATTGTGTTAAACTACAGAGAACCAAGGTCATATTAAAGACAATACAGTTACCGAATTCTTAATGTAGTGACGTCAACCATCAAATGTATTGTTAAAACCAGAACCATTAGAGCACCTGACAGGTCAGCAGTCCTGGGTGCAACAACAAATGACACGTCATTAATATCAGCTCACATCACACCGAGAGACCCAACAACAATCCACCAAAGTTGAAGAAATCTGCAGATACATTGTGAGTAAGGGAAGTTAAATGTTTTCCTGAGATAAGAAAGAACACATTGTGCTTTACTGATGCTGCAGAACTTTAAATACTTTTGAAGAGACACAAAAATAGACAAAAGTCACCACAGCCTTCGCATAAAGGCCTGATTATGAATAATGTGTCACCACAGTTAACATGAAGTGGCAGGTGACACTGCAGTAGTTTGGGGACAGCTGTGCTATTCTTTTAGTAGTAGTTGAGGTAAAGGGACATGCTCATGTCAACAGAACAGTAGTTGGCCGCTCATCCACGGTAAAATCAAACTCATCACAAACCAGCAGCAGATACAGTGCAGTCCAGGTCACTGGTGAGTGTGAAAATGAGCAGTACAAGTTAAGAATTAAACATGGTTCTTGTCTAACTTCAGAAGATGAACATGTTGCAACGTCTTATCTTAAAAGGGTGAGGTTCTCATCAACCGACCAGCAGATAGCAGTGGTTGTATTCTTGCCAAGGAAATTTTTATCTCAAAGGCGGCCGAGCCCATGGACGTCTAACTCATTGAAGTGAAACATCTACTGTATGTGTGTAGGCAAGTCACATTTCTCACTAATCATACATTACTAATAAAAAACCAGCAGTGGTCACAGAAAGAGAATGTACGTTGACCAGAAAAGAAGCTCTGCACGCCTTCACGAATCAATAACCTTTTAGAATATGAGCAATGACACTTAAATCTCACGATCACTAGTCCGTGTTTTTTGAGTTCCAAGAACGTTTCTAAAAGTGTCTGCTTTCTCTCTGCCAATTGCTGCTTGGCTGAATTGTGGCTTGAAAATCAAATTTTAAAAAAAGGTTAAAATTTACTGTCCAGATCACAGGGGTCTAACAAAGTGAGGTGGGTGAGACCCAGAGTCAGTGGAGAGTGGGCTGATAGACACTAGCAGACCTGCCAGGCACAATTACAGTCATGTGACTTGGTCAAAGGGGAAAAACTCAGAACAGAGAGGTAGAGGAAAGGGGACACACTAAACCCTTTCCTTTTTTTTTAACATTAACAAAGCAGCGGCAAAAGCACACATCACCTGCCTGTCCGGGGAATTACAAGAATTTGTCGCTCAGTAAAAACATAATTTAGCACACGCAGGGTCACTGGGTTTCATAATGCCAAGTCAGTATGTGGTTGTTAGTCTCAAAGACTTCAGACAAGACTGTTGAAAACACAGATGCAGGGGCCGCCTGGACCCTATTGGTCCACAGAACTGAAAGACTATTTCAGGGTAAACTGCCCAGTGGTGATTTTGTTTTGTTTTTTCATTCCAATTGGATTTACAGCTTACTAATATCTGCACATCGGTTTCTAGATTTACAAATTTACAACAGATTAGTTCCCTTAATATTAACTATAACAATATATAACAATATATATATGTATCCAGAATCCAGAAAGACATACCACATACATTCAACTCTTGTTAAAATTGCAATCGTAAAAAAAAAAAATTCCTATCCACAGGAGCTCACATGAGAAGCCTCTAATTTAAAATCTCCGGCTGAGTTACTGTCCCAGCCCATTCCTGCAGAGATTGGTCGCATTAAAACGTTTTTTTAACAATACCACACTATCACCACAAGCAAGTTAAAAGCATAATAATAGTTTTTCTACTCAGTTCCACTCAGAATGTAAGAAAAACGTTTTAAAACTGCGCTATCGTTAGCTCAGTTTCCAGTCACCTGTTGAGCTTATTGGCACAGATCAGCAAAGACACAGAAAAAAATAAAGTTTATTGAAATATAATTGTTTGGGTTAATTAATATAATAATTAGACTGCCTTATAAAACTTCAAATGGTGAATTACTTCCATAACTACAATTATAAACTTGATTTTTAAAAACAAGATGTATTGGGCTAACAAGTGGCTAACTGCTAGTTCGCTACATGTTTAATCTCAGTTGTGCCAAGTTAGTGACAAAAGAGATACTAAATACGACATACTGCGGTGTTTGAATGTTTTTTAGGATCACATACAGAACCATAACAGTTTTAAAAATAATAATAATTGTATAACAAAAACAAATGCTGAAGCAGGCGATTTGTTAGCTCTCATTAGCCTTTAGCTGTTTGTGCTAACGGACAGGATGACGGAGAAGTCTCACTGATGGAAACAACCATAGAGCCATACACCTGATTCAGCTTCTGTGTCTGTCGCTTACCTCCCCAACATGGACCGAGACCAGGACCGAAACCGGTTCTATCTGAATCCACTGCATCCACACAAAAAACACAAACGCGTAACCGACCGGCAAACTACTCAACGACTTTGGCCATTAGTAGTCAGAGGCAACAAGTGTGTACATTCTCGGTTGTGTCCAGTTCAGCGTCCAACTCACTGTGCACTGGGAACAATCCCTGGCACACAAACGACGCATTCCACAGGCTGAATCTCGGTTCAAACCAACAGGGGCTTGGTCCAAATTAAAGGGATATTCACACGCGTCTGTGAGGTTATAATTTGTGAAAGAAAAGCTGAACTATTTTGTTAAACTTCTGCTTTTAAAATTGTATTATACTATTTTGTTAAACTTCTGCTTTTAAAGTTGTATTATTACAACTATTATTATTTACTGCAACATAACGTATTAAAAGACGTAGCAGACAAATCCCCAAATAAAAATAAATGTCTTATGTTAATCATATATATGTGATAAATAATTTTAGAATTTGTTTCATTACTAATTCAGTTGCTTTCTGTTTTGTTTATGTCTATTAAAAACAGGGTTTTCCGGTTCACAAAGACCAGAACTGCCACAGTAAAAAACAACAACAACAACAACAACAACAAAAAAAACCCATGATATACCCCTTCTCATCCCTGTGGGATGTACTTATTATCACCTTTGTCCCCTTCAGAGAAACAAGGGGCAAATGATCTCACAGGGCTAAGAACATAGTGATGTTGAAAGCACGGTTGAAATCACTGTTTTCCTGCAAATGGCTCCTTTTCTGTAAAGTGAAGTGGTTCTAATACTGAGAGCGGTTGTTTCCCTATTGGAAACTTCTATTTGCCGTTATAAAATGCCTGGCCACATGGTTTACCAGAAGACATTAACTGTATTACAGTTACTACCATATATGTGTATGTGCCCACGTTGTTGTATTGGGTGGGAAAATCCCTGTGTGGGAATTGAAAACTTTTCACTTTTTTCAGATGACCTTTCCTGGACAACTTACAGTTGGTAAGAAGTGATTCGCCGGTCTCTAAGCTTTGTTTTAAAGGAAGTATGCTGTAGATTTGCACATGCTAAAAAACAAAACAAAACAAAACAAAAACATGCCGTGTACTGTACATGCATAATCCTCTGGCAGTGGACGGTGATGATCCACAGATAACGAGTCCAAACATGTGACCTGAGCTCTGCTACACAGGACACGCGGTAATGACGAGGAACATAATGGGTTAGGGAGGAAGTGGCAGTAGTTGTTGATGATGTCGGAGGAGGAGGAGGAAGAACCAAAAGGCAACAACAAACTAATAGGTTTTAGATTAAATTAAAAATTTGGTCTTTTCACTCTCTAGATTATGAACGTGCTTTTGTAAGTTTATGGAGATAATTTGAGGTTAAGAGTTGACTTGGAAAATCAAATTGTAGTTATACCAACTTGTTCCAATCCAATTTCACCATAAGGATTTTAGGTTTAATTCTATATTATTTGATGAAACCAACTTAAAAAAAAACAATATTTGTCATAATACTAGAGGACCAGTAGAGGTACTGCAAGTAGTTATGAAGTATTTGGTTGATGAGAGAATTTCATTTTGCACCTTTTTAAATTTAAATCACGATTATAGAATAATGTGTGTTATTTGTATAGATTAGTTTTAAATGTGAAACAGCAAAGTACTTACATATATTTGTATGGTACAAGACCCAGTTTTAAACAATACGTGTTCTCCCCCCCGCTCCCCGTGCTCTGCTAGTCTGGCTTGGCAGCGTGTGTTTTTTTTTTATGTGACTGTTGGTTTGCTTCAGTGCTCGCCTTAGTGCTCGCCTGGGTGAACATGCGTGCAGCAGTGTGGTTAGAAATAGATACAGCTTTGTGTTTAAGCCCAACACCTGTGCACATTTGTGCCATCGTGGCGGCAAGCACGAGTGTGTGTGTGTGCGCCAGCGTCTGTGGCTCTACTCACGCATGCACTGCAGGCCATGCTTTTTCTGCAGGGTTTTGCTGCACAGTGAGCAGGTGGCGCAGCTGGAAAAAGAGCCTGGCACCAAACGGTGTCCGTTGTTGTTGCTGCCGTTGCCGCCGCACAGTTTATCTCTGGCTTCCTTTTCCTTCTGCTGCTCTTTTTCTCGGTTCTTACCCTGCAGAGGAACGAGAGAAAAATATATCTTTATGTGCAAGTTCAGTATTAAAGACGGGTAAAAGTCTTTGATCATCACACACAAAAAAAAAACATGCACATGCTAAACATGGGATCAGCAAAATAAGCCTCAGTAATTATTCTCCAGACTATAATAATGAGTTGAACATCGTTAGTTTATTTTGTCATTTTTGCTTCAGTCCCTGTAACATCTTTGTATTGAATTTTTATTATTATTATTATTATTGAATAATAGAGAAAGAATTGATGATATTCATACAATAAACATATTTGGTTTAGAAGATTATTTTCCGTGAACTTTTCTGACTTTTTTTCTTCGGTCAGATAACACTGGACACCACTGGAGACCATCAGTAGCTGTGGAGTCAGTTGTCATAGCACACACACACAGCTGAGTGTGTGTGTGTGACATGACACAACTGTGTAGAGGCCTGGATATGTAACAGAGATTGTGTAAGAAGATTAGCGTGTGCGGCAACATGAACAACATGTTAGCACTCTGGGACCTGACACGTGCTGGTTAACGCAGCGAGCTGCAGACACCGTCGTCGACCCTTGTTATTCAGAATTAATTGAAAAGTAATGTGTTTAAGAATTCCAAGAATGCATTAACACTTCACTTCCATGGAGTTAAGTTTATGACTGCGGCTCACGCAGCATGGACCGTGGCTGTACTATGAGCTGTGACAACACAGAGCGCCGGGGTTTATAGGTTTACCTTATCTTTGTTGAAGGAGCCAGTCATTCTGTTCCTCAGGGAGCTCAGAGTCCTCTTCACCTTCGTGCCTTTCTCCACCTTCTCTGTGCGATCCTCCTCCTCCTCGTTTCTGTTAGGAGTGGCTGCAGAGTCACTGCTGAAAAAAAAAAAAGAGAGACAGAGGAAACAGCAACATTAAAATGAAAACAGTCTAACAGAAATATTTAATGACAATACCGGCACTAAATGTCATGTTAGTGTTAGTTTCTTACCACAACTTAATAAATGACTCACTTCCCCAATTGATCGGTCAGAGAGAAGACAGTTGAAGAGATTTCAAATTGGCGAGAAAAAACATTTGTTGACAAGAAACATTCACGATCGTTACTTACTCGTTAGAGAGAAACTCGTACCAGGTGACGTTTTCGGAATCTTTGACGTTCGATTTGCCGCTCCTCTGCTTCACCCTGCCTCAGACGAAGATACAAAATTTTAAAATAAAAAATATATACGTGTACGTTACAGTGTTTGTTATTGGATGATAACATTCATGTTAAGAAAAAGTGAGAGACACTCGTCAAGTCAAAGGGCAGTTTGTTGATCAGAGCGGTGGTTCAGTGTCGTGACCTTTGGTAGAGTCGGTTCCATGTCGTGTCAGTGCACACAGGCAAAAACATGCAGGTTCAGCCACAAAAACACACAGTACACGGTGCAGTGCCCCCCCACCCCCCCCCCCCCACTCCTAATGTGAGCTGTGCTGCTGCTGCTTTAATGACTGATGACTTGTGAACAGTTGTAGCAGCAGCCAGACCTCCCTCTCATGTTTACTTACCCATGGTACTGCTTTAGCTCCTGTAGAACTTTTTGTACCTTTAGCCTAAGACAAACAAGACACCGAGGCTGAGTGAGAGGAAACAAGAGGAGAGACGACAGGGGGAAAGGAAAGGAGGAAGGAGGAAGGAGAGGAAGAGAAGAGGAGAGGAGGAGAAAACAAAGAAGAAGGGAGAGAGGAGCTGATGGGAACTGAGAGTCAAACTGTGATCTAAAGGAGAATCCTCCCATGTCTGCTGCAACCATCACATCACCAGACACACACTAACACACATATACAGTGAAAATAAAACACACACACACTGAGGGGCCATCTAAGGAGCTGGGAGAGAGGACTGTGGGAGGGGATGCAGAAAGATGACATGGAGCAGAAATGTCAGGAGGACCTGAGGGAAGCCCCTCCGTGAAGCCCCTCTGGTAGAAGAGAGCAGCACCACATTACAACAATTTACTAACGAAGAACAGAATGTGCTCTACGCCACCAGGTACAGTTAATACTGAGCAGAAAAACAGTCATGTGGACTGCATTTAGGAGTTGTTTTTTTTTTTCAAATCAAATCATCAAACTCACATATGATTCTGTCCCTCGGTGGAATGGAGATTTTCTTCCGGATCAAACTCCTCTGCTGCTTGTGATAAAGAGGAAACATTCAAATTAAATTGTCAAATTATAATGAGAATGAAACAGACTCCAGTCTCAGTCCTACCTCCTGCTGCTCTCGCTGCCTGTTTGGACGTCTGCACGACTCGGGAGATGTGCGAAGCGCGGGAGAACTCGTCCGTGGCCAGGATTTCTGAGCGGGAATACAGGAGACTTCCGGGAGAACCACCGGGCTGGAAAAGAATAATTAATAATTAACAATTAATTAATAACATAAATTTGACCTCCTCTATGATTCCCAGCCTTTTGCTCATGTGAACTCAGAGACAAATGTTGGCCCTGGGAAACGGCATTGAACGTTCCAGGTTGGTTCATTCAGTAGTTAACTGGTGTCAGGACTGGGTTCAAGTGTAAAGAGCGTCCACTAACGTAACATAACATTATTTGCAATCAAAGGTTATGGATTATGACTCACTCCTTTTTTGCCAAACTTCAAAAGAGAATTATCTGTAAATTAAAAAAAAAAAAAACCAACAACAATCTCTTCAGATTTATGACAGTAAAGCATCCAGGCCTGACAGTTAATAATAATAATGATGTAAAAAAAAGATTCAGAGAGTGAGAAGAAATCTGTGTGTTTTAAAAAAAAGATTCAGGGAGTGAGAAGAAATCTGCGTGCTTAAAGGCCAAAGGTCAAAACTACTGCCAAATGCTGTGAACTCTGAGTTTTTAGGAATTCCTTGTTTCTTTCATCGAGGACGGAGAAAACCTTTTCAGGAAAAATCAAAATCCCACGTGATGAAAACCTCTACGGTTTCATTCTCATTATTGTCTGTTCTCTTCATTACCAGGCTGGTTATGCTGCCTCTGGAGCAGGAGACCCTCACACAGGGACCATCCGTCTCCTCCACCGTAGAGTCCGTGCAGGTCTGCTGCTGAGTGGAACGGAAGAGGTTATTCTGTCCGTCCTCGTCCTCGTCTCTTTCTCCATCACTGTCCATAGCCATGGTGTCCAGGCTCAGTCTGGAGGAAATAAAAAGTAGGATTTTTTTTTTTAAAAGATATAAATCTGTGTTGGCTGGTTTGTTCCCATCCATCCTTACCTCCTCCCCAGGCTGAAGGGGGACACCGGGACGCCCCAGCTGTGTCTGCGAGACGTGGACATAGACCTGACCAGGATGGGAAAACTGTCCTCATCTGGCTCGCCTTCACAATCCATGGTTCTGAGCGCAGTCTCACAGTCTCTTCCTGTTTGGTCCCTGAACGTTTCCACTGATCCCAACAGTCCGTTCAGATTGATGGTCAGACTGAGGCCCACCGCAGGTCCGGTCGAGTCATCGCTGTCTATGATACAACCTGTGATTAACCTGGGGCTGAGCTGAGTGACCACAAAGTTACAGTGGGGTTCCTGTATGGGCTGTATGTAGCAGGGCAGTGAGCGGGCTGGAAACGGAGGGGCGAGTGAGGTCAGAGGAGCCTGGACGGGTCGGGGCGCGATGACAGAAACCTCGGTGTTATTCTGTTGGCCAACGTCGGGGTTTTCTCTCTCTGGGGTCCTGCGATCTGAGGCTGTGGTGGCCGGTGACCGTGAGGCTGGGAATCCTTCGTCCAAATAGTCGGACTCCTGGAAGGAGAAATTGATGCCGCTCAGATCTTCCACGCTGCTGCCCACCTCCACACCAGGACAGTCGTAGTCACTGACTACTGAAGACGAATCCTGACAGTGAAAACAAAAACAAGGAGCAGGAAAATTACAGGATGAAAACAAAAACAAGGAGCAGGAAAATTAGAGATTTTTTACAGGATATGCAAGAATATTCTGCAGTTTTGTGGTCCAATCAGGATCAGGTTTACAGTGGCTTTGGGCACTGTAGACCATTGTTTCCCAAAGACTGGATCGTGACCCTCAGGTGGGTTGCAAGATTTTTTTTTTGGGTCGTCTCACATCATGTTTCCCAGGAGTTTACGAATAATGTCTATCGACTTGGGTCACAAAGGTTTGTGACTTTTTAAATATGGGTCCCTAGAAAAAAAGTCTTAGATCTGATCTAATTTAATCTAATCCAATATATTTAAACATATTATAATATACTGTAGTTAGGGGCAAAAAGTGCAAAAATATTGTGACAAATACCGTTCAAAAAATGCCCACTGCCCTCAGATCTGTTCCTCTTCTACATTTATATACTGTATAAAGTTTAAAGAGAAGTCGCGACCAATCTGATCTCAGGTCAGTTTAGCATGATAATTCAGGTTTGTTATTAATAAATAATAAAACCTTAAACTTCCAGAGACTTCACACTGAAGATGGAAGTTTGTCTTAGTTAATGTTTCAGCCACTGTAGGAGAAACCCAACATTTGGCTACGTTTATTTCTGTCTGCTGCAGCACGTCACTGTGTAAAACTAAAAATTCAAAAAATACTACAAACTCTACCAAAACAAATGGATAAAATGGAATCATGAACGTGTACCTGGTCACAAGTGTTATCGAAGAAGACGTCCTCAGGAATGGAGGGTGACGACTGTGAGGAGGACGATCCTTTCCTGCTGCTGTGATCAGGAGGCTGGAGCAGAGCTTCAGGAGAACCGCAGGACTGGCTGCATGGTTTACCCTCTGACGCTGGAAAATAACGATTAATACAACATTTTCAGAACACGAATAAAGCAGATCTTAAAAAACGCAATCGTTCGACTGCAAAGCGAAAAAAGGGCTCAGATGTAACCGGAGCGGCTGAAGATTTAATTGTGGTGGATTTTTGGAGGATGGAAGAAAACTCTCAGTTCCAGACTCTGAAATCTTCTCGTGTGTTTCCACTGAATAAACACATTTCTTGAGTCACATGATTCCACAAAACCATAGTCACCATTGGCTACGGTTCAATGAGCCTGCGTTAGTCTTTATGTCAGTGGAGGAGAGACTGAGATCATTCTAACTCTCTGATTCTCTCTGAAGTTAATGATGTAAAATGTGTCAAGTATCTTCATTTTAAAGATATGTGAGTAAAAACAACAAATGTTTTATATTAATTAAAAGCTAAAGTTATTTTTCCATTCAATACTAACTACACTAACCATTTAGTTTTTACATACATTGTTAGGTTAAAGACCTCAGGATAGTTTAGGGTGTGAGCAACAGTTAGCTTGGCTGCTAACGTGCTGCTAATATGCTACTTAGCAAACCACTTAAACCTCGCTACGTTGTCTAAATGTTGCTGCACCAGCCTTGTAGATAAAGAAAAGAAAACTAACTCTTTGTTTTAGTGCATGGCTAACTAGCATGCTGCTAACATGCTACTGACTAGCACAACCCTCACACCTAATTTGCTGAAATTGTGGTGTGTTTTAAAATATGGGTCTCCAGAAAAATAAAACACAAAAACACTGTCGTGAGGTCAAGTTACTTCACCTGACTGTGAGTCACTGTCACCGTTGTTTGTGTGTGGCTCGGGTCCTCGCCCCGTATATTTGATATATACACAGCGGGTTGAGAACGTGACACTCGTTTTAAAAGACGGTAATAATTTTGAGTCGTCTTTGTTACGATGTTATAATTCCAGTAAGAGACCCCGGTCGTTAGACAGACTCCAGACGGGCCACACTGGGAGTCCGGCTGTAAACCCAGCGACAGCATCCACTCCGTCTCCGCGGCACGACGACCAGAGATGCTCTGAGATAAACACACACGCCGACACACCGTACATCTCTTTTCTATTTTACTAAATCTCTGGCCGGGAGCTGCGGCGACGACAGTGTCTCCGCAGGAGGGAGAATGTGTTTGCATCCAAATCCCTCTTGTGTCGAGTGTAAACTTAGCCACAGACAGACACTGCAGCAGCTGCGTGATGCTGTCCTGCTGCGCTGCTGTGGCCTTTTATGGTTGGACGCTCATATCTGCTCATACATCACACCGGGCCAGCATGAAACATTAGTGTGTGTCACGTTCAGCTGTTTCCACAGAGTTTGGATCTTCCTACAACAGACCACTTATCATTTAAAAAAAAAAGGCTCAATTCCCTGATTCCTTCACATTTGAGTGTTTACCGTCCGTAGCGACAGTTACGCAGCTCTTCCTTATACAACGGTGACGTCTCTGCCGCCGCTTCTTCACTTCCTATCTCATTGTTTCCCAAATGGAAAAATAATGTAATGATTGTTTATTTGAAGGTAAGTGTCTCAACGAGGGACACACTGAGACAAACCTGGGACTTGTTTGCTAGAAGGAACTCCAGGAACTCCAGGAACTTCCCTGCTTACTTCCAGAAATAAACCAGAAGTATTTGAATATACAGTATTGATAACTAACCTGCTTAACCAACCACTGGTCCCCGGACCGGTACTGGACCGCAAGACATTTACTACCAGGTCCCAGAAAAATAAAAAATAAATCACATTTTATTTGCATTTTCTAGTGCCAGTAGATGTAAAATAAATAATAATAATAACAACAACAACAACATTAATAATAGTAGTGATTATGGTTGTTGTTATTGTTGTGATCTATAAAGGTCGTCATTGTGGTTTTCTTGTGTTACGCAATTTAAAGAACAAACACTTCTACAACAACATTGGCACTGTGTGTGTGTGTGTGTGTGTGTGTTGACATGTCATGTGAAACGGAAGACGCACAGAAAGAAAAAAAAAACAATGTGATAAGAAGGAAATGACAACACGTGTTGTAACTGCAGCCGTCAAGGCTGTGTGACGATCACGAGAGGAACAGCGGCATCAGATGATGCTGCAGCCAATTCATGGTTTTACAATGTGATAACACACACATGTTTGTCTGCAGAGGCTGAGGTAAAACACACACACACAGGGCAGAGAAGGTCAGTCACACCGAGGTGTCAAGCCACCGAAACAGTGTGGGGGGCGACTTAGCACAAAGAGAAGGCAACTGGGGTTTGGATATTTTCAAAAGACATGTATATATATATATATATGTATATATATACACACACAGTGGTCACATGAAGCTGCAGACAATGGCTGCACACCTACGGCAGGGCACACACACACAGGGCAGAGAAGGTCAGTCACACCGAGGTGTCAAGCCACCGAAACATGAGGTGAGATGACGAGGCTAACTCGGTCAGTAACTCAGTCAGTATCTCGGTCAGTAACTCAGTCAGTAACTCAGTCAGTAACTCGGTCAGTAACTCAGTCAGTAACTCGGTCAGTAACTCGGTCAGTAACTCGGTCAGTAACTCGGTCAGTAACTCGGTCAGTAACTCGGTCAGTAACTCGGTCAGTAACTCGGTCAGTAACTCGGTCAGTAACTCGGTCAGTAACTCGGTCAGTAACTCGGTCAGTAACTCGGTCAGTAACTCGGTCAGTAACTCGGTCAGTAACTCGGTCAGTAACTCGGTCAGTAACTCGGTCAGTAACTCGGCCAATAACTCGGTCAGTAACTCAGTCAGTAACTCGGTCAGTAACTCGGTCAGTAACTTGGTCAGTAACTCAGTCAGTAACAGTTTTTAACCTGGACGTAGACTGAAGACTTTACCTACTCTGCATCTTTGAAATAGACTGAAGACTTTACCTACTCTGCATGTTTGAAATAAAACCCACACAAACACACACACACACGAGAAGTGACGCAAACGCCACCATCATTTACCACAGGGGATCAAACCGATGATGTTCTGGCTGTAAGGCAAGGGCATTCACCGCCAGTGTTTTTTTTTTCAGCCCCTGAAGACTAAAACTGAGGACTGGAACTCCTGTAGCTCCAGTGGATTTTAAATCTGATGAATAAAAACGTTAGAGAAGAACTGGAACTGGAACTGGAACTGGAACTGGAACTGGACTCCAGGGTCGTGACCTGGTGCCACAGACATTCAACAGAGGAAGAAGACACAACTCTACCAGATGAAGTGGAATAAAATACAGAAAGGTATTTCTTTGCATCGTGAGAACAGAGGGCGTTAGATCTGAGGCTGCAGCAAAGATCAAAACAACTGTCAAACTGAGGACCAGGCTTTGATGAGGACATTTTGTGCGACATCATGTCTCTCTCTCTCTCTGACACACACACTCATACACACCTAACCTGAAGCCCAGTACCGTCTCATTCATGCTGCAGTCAGTAAACGTAAACGTAAACACACCTGGATTCACTCCATCCACCAAACACCGAGGTTTTTCAACCAGACTCCTCAGATCAACCGTAGCAGTTGCTCTTCAACAAAGCAACAAAGTGAGAAATGAGTCAGTGAACGCTGCAGCCAACTGTCATCCCGACCACTGACACCGTGCTTCACCACAGACATGCTCTGCTCACAGCCACAGACGACGTGTTTACCAAAAGTAATGGGGAAAAAAAAGTGCAGAAAAGTTACAGTATAAAAACCTCCTGCTCCGTGCTGCTCTCTGACCTCTGACCTCTGACCTCCGTCCCACTTCTCAGATTACGGTTTTCCGTACCTCTCTTGAAGGACCACCGTCTCATCCAGAACTTGGAGAAGGACGGCCAGGAGTTGTTGAGAGGAGACTCCGCCATTGGAGCAGCACAGAGGAGAGGTCAGCAAGAAGAACCGTGGCTGCCTCTCACTGGAGCTCTGGGAGCACGGGCGGAACGTGGAGTGGAGAGAGGAGAGAGGAGAGAGGAAGGAGGAAGGGAGAGGGAAGAGTGAGAGAGAGAGAGAGAGAGGGACGAACAGAGGCACCAAAAAAAAAAAAAAAAGAACCAGGGAGCTGATGGTTGGGAATGAGCTGCTCTGTCAGAGAGAGGAGGAGACAGGGCCGTCACCAACACTCTGACCCTCAGGGTTTGGACCTTGGACCAGAGGTGGATGTGCAGGTGATGTTCATGAATGAGAACTTTCAATAAAGTTTCAATGAATAAATAAACATGAGACATGCTGCAGCGGTTCCCAAAGTGTGGTACGCCGTCCCCTTGTGTGGCAGAAATCTATTGCAGACGGGACACTGACACCATGAGACTAGAATTGGATTTTTTTTTTTTTTAAAAACATACTAGGAAGTGACACAACACACAACCGACCTTTGACCTCTGCTTTTAACCCACCATCACAGTCAACAGGGGGCAGCTTTAAGCACCCGGGGAGCAGTGAGCAAGGACGGTGCCATACTCTGAGCAACTTAGCGGCTGGTGGACTCAAACCTGAAACCTTCCAGAACAAAGTCCGCTTCCTTACCCACTAAGCCACCACTAAACATTTTTAATTACATAAAATAAAATGGCAGTAATTTCTAACTCAAGCACTGACTAAAAAAATAAAAAATCTTGAGGGGGTGAAAAAGAAAGTATGCGTGCAGTCAGAGGGTACTAGGATTACTAGTTACTAGTACTCGGTCAGGAGATACTGCGAGGTGCCGTTGTTTTACAACTTCTTGTAAAAACAATCATTTCAGACAGAAACACGACAGGAACAGAAAAAAAGAGAAGGAAGTGAGCGTCACAGAGCGGACAGTGAGAGGATGGGGCAACGATTCGATTCGTCACCGAGTGAAGGAAACAGCAGAAGAGCAAAGTGAAGCTGTTTCAAATGTTTCCAACATCCTGCTTCTTCATCTGCACAGGCAGAAACCAGTCAGCCGTAAAAACTGTCACCGTCACAAAAAAAAAAAAAAAACCACACATTCTGCAGATGTTCCTGAACTGAACAGTTCTACAGAACCGTGGACACGTTTCTTCTCAGGTGATGCAGTAGAAAAACAAAAAACCCCAGAAAAACAGCCCGCGCTCCGCTGTGACCCGCGGTGTGATTACAACAACAATCTGTACGACTGTACTTACATGTGGTAGATGTCAGGTGGTGATATTAATCCCGTTGCTAAAAAAAGAAAAAAAGTGGTGAATAAAAAAAAAAAACCACGGTTAAATATCCTCCTGGTCTGAGTGGAGGTTGTTGAGAAACTGGTATGAAGTGCAGAGTACCAGCAGCCTGACACCAGACCTCAGTCCCGCTTCCTCTTTTTCTCAGACCTGATTGGCCCCCACCCTGTCATGCAGCTGTCCGTTCACAGGCTGGATGGCACGGCGGCAGCGGCGGAGCGATGAAGTGGACCGTTGGTGATGAGTAAGCAGCTGTGTTGACTATAAACCTTCGTTGTGAATCTCAAGAACACGCGGCGTGTTTTGTGTTTTGCAGCTTGTCGCTTCATCCGAACGTGTTTTAGAAACAGGGTTGATGTGCAATAAAAAAAAAAAAGAAAGAAAAAAAAAAAGAAAACCTGTTTACGGTGGTTTCAGCCGAAGCGCAGCTTCTGCAGTTTTGCAGCCGTGTGCGCAGCGTGTCTGTTTTGTCACCTCCTAAGCTCACGTCTGAGTGTGTGGCTGAGGCAGGAGATCACAGCAGATGGAAACATTAAAAAAAAAAAAAAACATCATTCAACGAGGTGAGAAAGAAACAGAGGAAACACCTGCAGTGTATTCAGGTGTTATCTGGAAAAACATAAAAATTATCAGGACGCGGGACGTCCGATAATATCGGCCACATATTAGCATAATTATGTAACATCTGTAAGAATTATTTTTTCCTCCGATAATGAAAACGCAATAACGCAATGCCTGAATTTGGCCAAATGACCTGTGACATAAAAATAGTTTGGGGGAAAAACGGCTGTATGTGAAAGTGAAAGTCACTAGATGGCAGCGTTGCAGCTCATTTATTTAATCTCATACTCATACAGTGGTTTTTACAAATAAATAAATAAATATAACCAAGCGTCTATCGATAACGGTTGATATCGGAATCAGAAATTAAGTGTTTGGACAATATCGACAGATCGTCAAAACGTTAACATCGGAATAATCGGTTCTCAATGTTTGAGGGCAATGTTTTTTTTTTTGCAGCCTGTTGAGATTAACTTGTTAATGGTTTTAATAATTTTTTGATAATTCCGACGTCGATCAACGCCACGCTGAGCTACTTTGCTGCTTCAGGTGCATTACCGCCGCCCACCAGGAGGGTGTATGTGTAACCGTGAGTCAGAAGTTCGGGTTGAGTTGAGTAAAGTATTCAAGAATGTGTGATATTTGTCTGTAATTAAAAAAATTAAAATAAATTTAAACCATTAAGGGACAAACGGAGCGTTGGATCGTTGACACGTACTGTAGCTTTAAATGTTTTCCCACTTCTTGTTCCGTCAATTTTAACTTTCAGATTCATATTGTTGTTCTGGGAAATACCCCAGTGACACAATAAAAAGCTAAAAGTTATAAATAACATTGTCAGAAATGACCAGCAGTGACTAAAGTGTCACGAGGACGGAGGTGGGGTAGTGACCGACGGTTCCAAAAACTCCCAGAACTGTCGGGGATTAAACCGACGACACGTGACGTGAAGTGAAACACGAGGTGGAGGAGTGTGAGGTGGTCGACACAGAGACACGACTCCAGACACAGACGGAGTCGTCAAAGTGAAACTCCACCGTCAGACAACACTCAGATGTTAGATGTCAACAAAAATATATACAAACATAAAAAGAGGATCTATAACTGTATTATGGAAATTAAAAAAAAAAAAAAACAGATTTGTTTGAATTTGTGAGAAGTGAAAACCTGCAGCCAGATTCATGGTCCCAGAAGAAGGTAGAACCAAAAGTCACATGAGGAACATTTTTTTATTTCTTTTATTACTTGTCATTGTGACCTTTGACCTCTGCTTTTAACCCATCACTAAAGTGAAGTGAGTGTGGACAGTGCCTTGCTCAGGGTACCTCAGTGGTAAGTTGACAGCTTGTGGACTCGAACCTGGTACCTTCCGGAGCCAAGTCCGCTTCCTTAACCACTAAGCCACCACTGGCCAAAATATGTTTGTTTTGTTTTTTTACGCTTCCTTAACCACTAAGCGACCACTGGCCAAACTCTGTTTTGTTTTGTAACCACTAAGCCACCACTGGCCAAAATCTGTTTTTTTTTTTTTAATTAGGAGCCAAATTAAACAACAAAATGTTTTTATTTTCTACAAAGCCACTCCTCATAAACTGAACGACTAAAACTAAGTCATGTGACCGCTGGACGATTAATCAAGACTTGGTTTTACTCACAGAGCTGGACGTTCTGGTCGATATCTCCTCAGATGAACTCTAACTGGTGTTTTAGAGATTTAGAGTCGCAGCAGACGGATCCAGGGATGTTCCTGAGCTGGAGATTCCTCAGGAACGCTGCCAGGAGCTGCCGTCTCACAGCCAAACAGCGCTTCACTTCACTTACAGGCGTGGGTCGACCTGACATGTGGCGGTCGGCGATGGTCGTGGTGTTGATGGCGGTCGGTTTGGCCACAGCTGCAGCGTTTCTGCCAGTTTTCCAATTCCCTGCGTCATAAAAGAGCGGAGGAGATTTGAACCGACAGGAATCGACCAGATGTTTCTGACTGTGTAGAAACTGAAGTTAATTTGATCTTCTGTGTGTCCCTGAATGCACCGTAACAGTGATGAGTTAAAACCAGAGAACGTTAGCAGACGGTTTTCACTAGAACCACTAGATATCAATTAGTTGTTAGCATGAGTCGAATGAACAAAAAAAAAGTGTCAAACAGAAACATTTACCTCCGGTTATTTATCTTTCTGTTCCAGCAACATATAAATATATTTTAATAAAATACAAAACGGTTTTTTTTGTTATATTAAAGACTGATGATTTATCTCGATTAATCATGATTAATTGTAATTAGACCACCATCATTTACTCCACCAGTACAGCAGGA